AACTAGTGTAAAAATAGTGAAGAGAAATGTGTTTCTCCTCAGTGGTAGACTGTGGTACATATGGAGATATTTTCTGAATAACAAATTTCTACTTAATGGTATTATGGAAAGAGAGGGGGTCAGTCATAAGATTTCCAAAGACAGTAATTTCAGCCCCTCCTTGGTACAAAATAACCTTTTCAGTTATCAGTATTTGGCTTTCTGAGTGATACATTCAACATTTCTACATCTGCTAGTGCTCTTGGGGTTAATTGGACTCTATTTTTAATCCTAATCCATATGCCAATTAGTTTTGATATAGGAGGGGTCTTTTCAAGAAAGGAACTTTAAAAAAAAAAAAGGAACTTTTTTTTTCTCTTGCTGGAATTTCTTTTATTGAATTTTCAGCTTTGCAAATTATTTTATGTTGGTGATTTGCTTAAAAGGCAGCCTTTGAGTATTAGGAAAAGTTCCTTTTTTGCTTTATATCTCTATGCTAAAATTCTATTTTCTTTATTGAGTCTTTAATTTAATTGCATCTCAGAATTTTGTTTTTCATCAAACATGTAGTCCTAAGTGTACATAGGGTAATTCTATTATTTGATGTTTTCTCCTTCAGAATGAAGAAGTCAGATTCATTGAAAATGAGCTAGAAATTCAGAAGCAAAAATACTTTAAACTTCAGACATTTGTTAGAAGTTTGATACTAGCTATGAAAGCTGATGATAAGGAACAACAGCAGGTAAGTCCCAGAAGAGACTAGTAAACTGAAATGTGTCATATTGAAAAATGGCATGTAATTCTTGATTTCTTCATATCTTTTTATTTTTATACTCCATTTCCTCTTGGCATGGATGAAGTGTTTGTTACTTTGTGATTTTTATTAACACAGTTATTTTTAGAATAGGTGTTTAAATTGTGTGTGCTGCTTGAGTGGAAAATCAAAGTAACTGCTTTACATAGTTTATTAATTCAAGGTTAGCCTTTAGATAAGGATAAAACTAATTTTTAAATTAATTATTTTTAATTCTTCAAAAGGTTTGTATAATTAGGGCTACTCTGACTTGAGAGGCACAACGTTTAAGACATTTTGTGGATGAAAAAAATAAGGTAAGCATTTATTTGCCTCTCTTTTGAATCTCAGTTACCTGCCAGCTCCAACTAGAGTTTGCAAATACTTGGATATATTCCACTCTGTGATTTGTTGCTCATAACTAAGAAAATTAAAAATTACTTTGTGAAAATCTTTGTGATGACAGTGCATTGCTTATGTTTCCCAATTTGAGTGTTTTAGTCTTCTACTCCAAGTTTGAAATGTAATTTTAATTTGTCACTGTGGATTTTATTTAAAAATTCCTCCTGAATTGTATTTTCTGTCTCATATTTTCATATGAAATCTGTATAATAATTTATTAGGTTTGCTAAAAATAATTATGAAATTATCATTTTTAATTTGCCATTCAGTAATAAATAATATCAAATTTATCTCTGAAATCACCAAGTATACCATGAAGATGATTTCTTGTGAGAGAAGTTCAATGAGTAGTGTGAGATAGAGGTAGCCATTATTTAGGAAACAGTCTCAGAGGCTTTTATTCAGCAAGGAATGTCAAGAGTACCAAACTTCATCCCTTATATCCAAGCAGACTGCAAGTACATAGCCCATTCCAGACATCTCCAAGAGAAAAGATGAGTCTTAGCTTCTCATAATTCTCCTTTTTTACTCCAAAGGGGAGGGATTCTTTATATATTTTACTGAGGTTCTGAATCACAAATTTTTTTGTTGTTTATTATTTTTTATTTTTTATTATTATTTGTACATTAAATTGCTATACATCATTTAGATTGTGAAGAGACTTTACCCAGCATGATTTACACCTCAGTCCAGCCCAGTTGAGACTATTATACACATCCTCGTCACGCTTGTGTCCCACAAGTGTCTTACCTCTCCATTTCCCCTTTCAAATTTCCTTTTCTTCACTCTTCCCCTCCTACACTCTCTTTCCACTTTGTCTCTAGTGTCCATTACAATTTTTAATACTGTTATGTTCTCCAATCTTTCAGTCTCTACCATAGAGTACGGACAGTCAGTATATGTTAAGTGGAGACAGACTATGTATTCTCTTTCATAGCCTGACTTGCTTCACTCAGCAACGTATCTTCCATATTTGTCCGCTTTCTATCAGATTCCAGGGCCTTGTTGTTTTTTATGTCTGAATAGTATTCCATGAAGTATATGTGCCACAAGTGTTCAATCCATTCATCAGTTTGTAGACATTTGGGTTGCTGAACTACAAAATTTAAAATAAAAGAATTCATCCATGAGGCTCAAATCATCATGTATATATCCAGTTTTATTAATTTTTCTCCCTTACCCACTATATACACACACAGACATCTCAAGACAGTAGCCTTCAGTTACCTTCGCCAGCTTTATTTAAGCAGATTGCTTTATTATGTGAATTATGCATATTCCATGATATATGAAAAATGTATTTGTTTTTTAATTAGCAATTCAAAATATAGATTTCAAATGAATAAGAGTTTCAAATGAACATAGTGCCAAGGGTACCATATTTTTTTTTAGAGAGAGAGATTATTGCTATAAGGCATGTGCACTCACCAGAGAGACAGAGACAGAAAACTAGAAATAACTCCCCAGGGGGAATGACTATGTTGCAGTCCCTTCTCCATTCTGCTCTTGAGATCTTGGGCATGCATACACATGTATTCAGCATGAGTTTTAATCCACAGAATCCAGGACTCAAACTGCAGTCAACTATGAGAGTCCAGCAATGTATCCATTATGCCATCTGCTACTCCTGGTACTGTACATTTTAAATAACCATTAAAATAATAAAACTGGGTCCCACCATAGAATGAGGTCCTAGTCTCAAAATTCATAGCACAATATTGAATTCAGAGTTATATAGCCAGCTAAATAGCAATTATCTATTTCTTCTTACATCTAGGACTAGCACACAAACTCCTTTGTATTTTCTAATTCTAAATTTATTCCTAGCTCTTCTTTTTCCCTCCAAGACCACTAATAAATAAGAGAAGTAATTAATGTGCATTTGAATTTTCTCTTTTTTCTACTTTTCCACTGATAAAAGAATAATGAGCTAAGACATAGACAAAAGTTGGTTGAAAGAAAGAGACAGTCATACAGAACATGTGATGAACATCATAGCCTATGTAATCAACACCCCAAACAGAAACTACTGATATTTATAGTAAGATCAGGTACAATAGATCTGAAAATAATTGTCTCAAAATATAGAAGTTCACAAAATTTGTCCAGGTAATGTCTCAAACCACTGATCTTTACACTATGAAACATGTAGAAGTTTGTTTTGAGAAGGAGCTATTTTTTTTTTTTCTGGTAAAAGAGAACGGTTGTTTCATTGGTTTTTCACTTTTAAAAACTCCTCAAAATTTTTTATTAATATTTATTTGGATAAGATGAGTGGTCCACAGAATATTTTGGCCCAACAAAGAAGTCATTGATTTAAAAAAATATATGATACTCTCTGACTGAAACATTAGATTACCCAAACGTATTTTTTTTCAATTAATAGCAATTTTTAAATCAAACTAATGTTGCCATCATTGTACTAAATTATGATCTTTCTTCCCCTTTATAATCCTCTGTGATCTTAGCTAGGTAAATTGCTTTTTGTGAACTTTAATTCCTCTATTTTGCAAGAAGGATAAGAATGAATAATACTGCAGAACTTGGCATTTGTACCCCAGGGCCTAAAATAAATGTTAAAAACTGCTCACATATTTAGAAAATGTTTTAATCTCTTGGGAAAAACGGGTGCTAGGTCAGACCCTGAAGAGTGTTGTCATTGATGAATAACACGTAATAAGGAAAGTTAATTGTGTCTACTTCAGAATCTATGAAAAATGCAGATCCAACAATTGGCATAATTCATAACTTTGTTCACTGTGCCGATGTTGCAACCCAATAAGATATTGAAAGTAGAATTTTGACATGAACTCATACGTTATTAGTGCCCTAAACTACCTCAGATATTAAACTTTATATTTCTTACCACACTCATTTTACTTAGTCAGTTATATGTAATGTAATGACAAATAAGTAATGCTGCTTCTCTGATTTGTAGATCTCCCCATTAGCATTTAGAATATCATTAACTATCCCCATTCACTTGACTTCCCAAGACTCTAAGCACATGTTTAGTGAGTATTAATTTAAACACTTTCCCCTCTTTAATATGAAATCTTCAAAATTGCAAAGTGAACTAAACCTGGCGACTTATTTCTCATATACTGATCAATGTCACCAAAGACTTCATTGATTGGACTGGGTTAGTGTAAACCACTGTTGTAGATAAAAATGGCTCTGTGGCCATTTTTACATTACATTACAGCAACTTCGTGGCTTAGAAAGCATATAGTACCCTGGGACCAGCAGTTAGTGTAATGACTATGTCGCTGGACTCCCATGTAGTCGACCGCAGTTCGAGTCCCGGACCCAGTGGCTTAAACTCACACCAGGCACGTGTGCGTGTGTGCCCAAGATCCCGAGACGAGAATGGAGAAGGGATTGCGGTGTGGCCATCCCCCCTGGGGGGTGATTTCTCGCTTTCTGTCTCTCTGTCTCTCTCTGTCTTTCTGGCGAGCGCACGAGCCCTATAGCGAAAATTTTCCAAAAAAAAAGAGAGAGAAAGAAAGAAAGCATAAAGTACCTTTAGTTGACTTTGCTGTGTAAATACACTGTTTCAGCAAGATGTTCTGGACAATTTAATCATATCAAATAACAGTTTTTCTCACAGATAAAAGTTAATCTTTTTACATAGTCTGACAAAAAAAAAAAACCAAAGTTTCAATCTTACATCTGTGTTACAACGCAAAGTGTATAGGATTTGTAGCTGTCACTTCTTTTAATGAAGAGAATAGGAGAATTCTGTCTTATTTCAACAGCAGATTTCATGTATTCTCTAATGTGTCCTGTCTTTCTGTTCTTTAATTGGATAGTGGCAAGCTTTCATTTGTTCTTGTTCCCTTGATCCTTGTTTAGTGAACCCAAAGCCCACACTACAAATAATACTGTCTAAAAATTGTCAGATATGTTACTTTATTTTTAGTATTGGGAACAGCAAATCAATAATTTAGTTCACAATTTTTTATGGTCAAGTGGACATCAGTACTGTCAGCCACATAAAAATCAATCATTTATTTCTCTAGTATGGATGTATGTCCTACAACTCCAGATGAAACAATAGACCTTGGCAACGCTTAGTTCATGGCTCTTGGCTTATTCTAATTACTCATGCGGAAAATAAGCAGCCTTCTTGATGCATTCAGCTGTGCCTTGGTGGGTGCTTGGCCATCTGTAGATATGGGCATAGCCTAAGGAAAGAAAAAATATTACATGGTCTTTTCAAGTTGTTAAAATTTAAAGTACAATAACTGAATTTCTTTCCTAATCAGTACATTTATTCTGCCACTGAAAAACAAAATAATCTTTTGTAAAATGTGATTTTCTCTGAAGGATAGTATAACTGGACATGACTATTTTAATAAAGAATTTGATTTTAAAGCTCTTCAACAGTGATCAATGAGCACTCAAAACTAGTATGAAAATCACTTAACTTCAAACACTTCAAAGTGCTCAGTTCAGAATAGTTGCTCGTTTCCCTTATGATTGACCCTTTGTCCAGGATTTCACTCCACATAATCTCAATATCTAGCTTTTTATTACTTCCTTAATAGTATATGTAAGTAAGTTATTGTATATCCTGAGAGTGAAATGGTTCTTTCTTTAAATTCGTAAGAATAAGTTCACTTGAGAGGACTACAACTATTGACATAAAATTGAAAAAAAAAATCTATCTGTACTAATCCCCCCAAAATTCATTTTTCTGATTCAGGCACTGCTGTCAGATTTACCTCCTGAATTAGAAGAGATGGATTTCAATCATGCTTCGCCGGAACCTGATGATACCTCATTCAGTGTGTCTTCTTTATCAGAGAAAAATGCCTCAGACAGTTTGTGATTTGAAGGGTGGAGGGGAATATATCATGCAGAATTTTGGCTGCCTAACAGGGAAGTGCATTCTGTTGCCCCAACATTCTTCAGTTGGAAAAACACATTGTTAGAACAGACATATTCAGTGAAGAGTGGATAAGATGCAATGGCTACACTGCAAAAATGTGTGTTAAATTTTGAAGCACTGTTTGAACTGTGGTTTTCAAACTGATGGAATTTTAGAAAATTTTAATTTTTGATCTGGTCAGCTATGAAAGGCATGTCTGATTTCTGAAAGATTTTAGTTCGGTTTTATTATTGAATCTTAGTTTCAGTAATAGTTTTAACCAGAGACATAAAAATAAAGTTACTTAAAAATTATTTATCTAGCTGCTAAAGATTTACTTTTCTTTTTTTTGTAGCCATTACATCTTTTTTCCCTCTCTTTTTTTCTATCATCCATATATACTTTTACTCAGGAAAGTGGTTTGAAAATTAAAAACAAATCTTCAAAAAATATTTAAACTGGGTGAACTCTGGTATTTATTTTTCAACCACTGTGAGAATTTGGCTTAAGCTAATAATTGAAAATTGAACTGATTACTAGTATGTAACTGGAAATTGTTGGTATTCTTCTATTATCTAACCCAAATATTTGTGGGGAGGGGGGGAGCACCATGGAAGGCTAATTCACCAAAAAAAGGTCAATAACTTATTAAGTGTACAGAAACAAAATGTTGTAAAAGATTAGTCTTAATGAGAATTCTTTGTTGCTGCAGATGACAAATATTGATAAGATTCATGTTCTACTTACTAGTAAATTTATGTAACCGAGTTAGATGAAATGTTGCACAAAGATTTCAAGTTTATCATCAGCTTCGTAAATTTTTTTTATTCTTACATTTTATGAAATAGGAAGTCAAGGTAAGCCACTGACACTTTATTTTTAATTTAGTCACTAAAGTTTGCCACAAAATTTACCTCATCTCCATGTGAGGCCTATATAGAGACATCAGCCAAGGATAATATTCAAAAAGAGTTATACTACTTTGGTTGTAAATCACAGTCCTCTGAATTTCCTGGATACTATTCTATGAGTACATGCCTAAAATGGGCATGCTTCCCAGTTGTACTATTAGGAGGTATCAGATGCCTACACTCTGTAGACAGTTCTTTGCAGATCTTCCCTTCCGAGGTGGCAGATGGTAAGACCAAGACCTATAGAAGAGAAAATGCTGGTTTCTTCCTAAGCTCACAGTGTCATACATTTGTGACTCGGCAGTGTGGAATTATGTTGCATGGTTACATCACTATCTCTACCTAAAAGATTAATTAACTAGCTAGATGGCTGTTATGGTCACCAAGGTTCTATTTGGGTGTTTTAAAATTTGTAATTAGAGCCAATTTTGTTCTTGGAATTCACTGATACCAACCTATGGATGTAGAAAGGTAGTCATGAATGTTTTCATACAGAAATGGGTAAAGTTCATTGATAGTCTTTCATTTGGTCAACTATTTGACTTGATATTATTGCCATACTACAACTATGGTTACTATGTTAGCAGAAATATTTTAGTGGTCAGGTAAGATCCCTTTTAGCTAAGGGCCATATGGTTCTTTGCAAACGATGTTTAGTATTTCTCACTGACAAGTCAAATTCCATCCAGAGAAAAGAACACTGAGTAATAGAACTTCAGATGTTAGGATTAAATTTATTAGTCACACCAACTGCTCCATCAGATAGAGTTCCCTCTATATGTAGCAAATATAAAAACGACTTCTTTAATAGCTCGAACACATTCTAGGCCTTCAAGTCCCTCCTAGTGTTTCATTTCTAGTCATTGAGTTTAGTTTTAACTCAACATAAGTCCTTTCTTATTTAATTCTCATTGCAAAATAATAATAGGTGATTTTTCCTTTACGTCTTTCAGCACGGTAGATTGTTACTTGTCACATCTCAACAATTAGTTCTCAATCAAAAAGTATTAATTGAGCTTCTGCTATAGAGAAGTCACTATCCACATTAGATTTCTCAACAAGCTATACATTTAAAAAAGAATTGTTTCTTATTAACTTTTTATATTAATAAAACTTACTGAAGTAGAAAATTTAGTACATTTAAATATTCTGTTAAGTGTGATTTCTAGAAGGAATTCTAGTCTACAGTCTTGAGAGGAAGAATAGATGATTCCCCCTTCTTGTTTAAAGTTCTATGAAAATAGAAACTATATAAATTATAGTAGTACACGTAGTATTCCTTTTGTCTTGGCATTTGTTTTCAGCACCAAAATTATTTCTTTTATCATCATTGGAATTAAAACACTTGTACAATAAAATGTGACTGTTCTGTAGCAAGAACCAAAGGATAACTGTTTCCAAAAAAAGAAATCATAATTGACAGATTGAAATTATGCACTGTAGATTTTGGAAAAGATACCAAGTCAAATATTAAAAAAAAAACTATTTGAAGAAAGTATATTTTTTCACATATATAGATTGGAGTTTGGGATACATTTTAGAGCAGGAAAAATATCAGCTTATTAAAACTGCTCTTGTGAACATTTTTATGACTGGAAGGAGAAATCAACTAATATTTCTTTCTTTAGAGCTTTAACAATATTAAAACAGACCATACTATCTTAACCATCTCTGAGAGAGACAGAAGCCAATGAGCAGGGTAAAAAACAACTCTTTTTTCCTTTAACTACATTTTGACAATAAGCCTTTAACCTTAGGATAGCCAAGCAGTATATAAGCAGGAAAAGTGTGTGTAAGAGCATTTATCTTCCAAAATGTATACTAAACAAACAAAAATCGCAGAAAGATACCTTCCTTTTTTCAGCTAAGCTAAATAACTCAAAAGGAAAGGAGAATTGCAGTTGCCATGGAGGACAGACCAATTAGCACATGCAAGGAAAATATTGAAATAAAATTGGCTTCTTCATGAAACCTAGGAATACTTTGTTGTATGGTCATTTATCATCAGCAAGACTTTTGTACTGCCATAGCAATCATGTGATAGAAATGTTTGTTATTGTTAGAGAAGAAAAGACAGTGGCCCAGTCACACTCTGTGCTCTCTATACTACCAAAATCTTAAAATACACCCAAAAGACCAAGTCTCCGAACACAGCAACATCTATTTAGAGGCAGTCTGTAAATTTGTAGGAAAAAAAATAAGTAGGTGATTTAATAGTGTTCTGGGCTCTAAGTCAGACTGTGTTGCCTTGGGGAGAGGGCACTTATCCCATTTCCAAGGGACGGATTTCTCATCTCAGCATGAGTTTATGATCATTTTCAAAAGATATTCTGAAAATTGTAACTTCTCCCGCACTCCATATTGTACTGATGGTATACCAGGAATATTATTTTAATATACTATTTTTCCATTGAGATTCTGAAACTGCAAGATTTTTAGAGGTTAGCTTTCTAAGGGAGTGATCAGTACCTTCATATTCAAATGATTGAATGAGTAAACTTCTCTGTGAAGTTGATGTTATCCTTGGAAGAGATCATTGTCTCATGCTCTTCACTAAGCTATACCCTGTAATGCTATAATGGAGGAGCCTACTAACTTGTGAATCTACAGTTAACACATCATTGCTCAAAATAAACCTTTATTAAGAGCAGATTTGCTAAGGGAGTAAAGAAAATAAAGTGATATTTTCATGCAAATATAGCTATGATTGTTCCATTGAAGTGTATACTGAGTATATATTGCTCCACATTGAAATTTATTTTGCATAACTTGTTAAATAGTTCCTTTTAGCAATCCTGCATTTCATTTTACTGGTACTACCTCTGAAACATACTATCACCTTAAAAACACATCAGACTGTAATGTGAATTTTTGTAGGTTTTTATTTAAACTTTTATAGAGGCAATAAATGATTTCCAAGTAATATAAATTTACTTCTTTATTTTAACATTTTTTTTCTGTATTTATATTGTAATCATTTTCCTCTTTTTAAGGGGATTACTTCCCAAAATAAGGTTCTATTCAAAAGAAAAAAGGTAGAAGTTTTTCGGGGCCAAAGAAGGGATATCAAGTGAAAATTATGTTGACTTCCAAGATACGATGTACATCATCCTAACTAAGAGCTACTCCAAAATCGATGGAATAAAGTGAATAGTCTGTAATAGACAATATATTTGTCCACAACAGCATATTTACACAGTAAAACAAGCAAGTAAATTACTGTAGTATAAATAAAGAATGATATTTTTACAACAGATTTTTTTTTACATGATATTGTATCTAACTTTTCCTGACCTTGACCTCAGTTGAGCATGCTTTTAATTTGGATAAAATATGTTCATGCCCTTTTTGTCAAAGTTTTATACCAGGACCAGCAGTTAGCATAATGGCTATGTCGCTGAACTCCCATGTAGTCGACCGCGGTTTGAGTCTCAGACCCAGTGGCTTAAACTCACGCCGGGCGTGTGTGCGTGCATGCCCAAGATCCCGAGAGGAGAATGGAGGTGAAGGGATTGCAGTGTGGTCATCCTCCCCTGGGGGGTGATTTCTCGCTTTCTGTCTCTCCGACTCTCTCTGTCTCTCTGGAGAGAGCACGCACCCTATAGGAAAAAAACTCTCAAAAAAGACCAAAAAAAATAAAAAAACTTTATACCAACTGAAATTCTTTTTTTTTAGAATTGTTTTACTTAACTATTTATTTATTTATTTACTTATTTATTTTATTTGGCCAGAGAGAAACAGTGTGTGTGTGTGTGTGTGTGTGTGGAGAGAGAGAGAGAGAGAGAGAGAGAGAGAGAGAGAGAGAGAGGAAAAGTGAGAAAGCAAGCCACCACCAGGTCTAGGACTCGAATTTCAGTCAGTCATGTGGGAGTCCAGCACCCTTAACCACCATGCCACCTGCTGGCCCACCAACTAAAACACTGTCACCTAACTAGTGGCAACAGTATGGAAAGTCATGTAGGATCCAGCTGCCTCAACCACCAAGCCACAAAGCCAGCCCAATGCAAAACTTTCATTTTTTTAAGAGATTTTTGCCTTAGGGCATGTTTGCTCATGGGGTACAGGGGGGAAAGACAGACAAACAGTGAGAAGGAAAGTGAGAAATCATCTCCCTGGGAAGATGACCATGCTGCAATCCCTTCTCCACTGGGAGAAACCACCTATGAAATAGGAATAATATTGTCTGCTATGATTGCTTCTCATGATACTTGTGAGAATCAAATGAATTAGTTTTCTTGTGTGTTTTTAGTTTTGCTATAGGGCATGTGCACTCACTGGAGA